ACACAGCAAATGAGGTCGCCTTGGCGTGGAAGGGTACAGCGGCTTTTTCGTCATCTCGGCAGCCCGGGGTGACCTGAAAGAAAACATTGATTTCCTGCCCCGTGTATTTTAACTCAATTTCTGCTGACGTGAAACCGATGATGACGATGAAGGCCATATTCTTTACGGTGACGTTGGCCCGTCGAGACCCTCTCCAGCAGAGCAGCATAGGACGGGGTGGAGGGTTGGACCTCATGGGGGGAGGGTGGGTGATATACTGCCACATATACTAAAATAACCAGATGTGCCAAAACAGTGAAACACGGTGCATAAGAGGCGTGGTGTCCGGCTCTGTGGATTGGGACACTGTGCCTGTCATCAGAAGGTCATTGGTTCAAATCCCAGGGTTGGCAGGCTGATTTTACTATTAACCTCAATTGTCTGATGCTTCTTTAGCATCTGCTGAGTGTAAAAATATAATGTGAAGGTTCTGTGAGTGGCACCAGAGCAGGATCCCTCACAGCACGTCCACAAAGAAGAAAGAACGCTAAACCAGCAGGTGGTAACGGCAATTTCTGGCTCCAAGGGTGGGACAGGGACAGCTGTGAGTCTCTCATACTGACAAACACTCCCCCTGCTCACCCGGTCAGCCGTAACACCTCCCATTTGACAGCTTGTCTTGGTTTAAACAACGTGAATCTCTTCATTTTCCCATAAAGCTGATAAGAGGGATAATTGTGGAATTTCACTGGATTTCTGTGTGGTGCTACAGTAACATGGACGGACGTCAACAGCGAGACCTTCAGCTCGTTACGCGAGACCAAAGATGGCAGCTGGGACTGTGACCTGTCACTGTGATGTGTTTGCTATTTACTTTTAATTAAAAATAACAGGATAATATCACAGGGGGTATGGATAAAAAAACACCAGGAAAGTATCCACCCTGCAAGGGTAATTTTTCTCTTATCAATAAGAAAACGAGACCAAACAATAACTAACCACAAACAGACCAACCAGCTGTGGGGAAGAATCACCTCCATAAGCACCTTGGTACAACCTTAGAGAGGCTGCATTATTGCACGGAAAATAGTCATAAAAATATATTTTTAAAGAATGTTATGAACGTGCAGCCCTTGTTTCTGGGGACAAGCAGCAGGTTTCCAAATGTACACGACATTCTGGGCCGCTCTTGAAATCGAGGGACTCTCAGTACACGGTGCCCTAAGGCAAATCCGACCCCAGCTTACCTCTGCACTCCGATCAGAACCACGGACAGCTCTCGTGTAACACGTAGCCTCAGGCCACGAGCCTGAAGTCATCCTTGTACTGTCAATCCGGTACCAGACGGCCCATATGGTACCAAGCGTGAAGCAGGGCACAGGAGATTTATTTACTGTGGAACGTTCACTGTGTCTGTACTGCAAACCCCGTTTTTCAGACCAGCACCCGACATCAATCAGAGACCACAGAAAGTTAAGATTTACGTGGAGCCCCGATGTGAGAGAGTGTTGTTTAGGTACACAGGCAAGGCGACCTGTCTGCTCTATCAGCAGATCACAGTCCGCCATTCTCGGAGCAAATCCCGGGGGCGCCGCCATAAATTTCGCCCTTAACTGATCTGCTGGCCGCTGTGTAACACGATAGCGGACCTCGTTTCACTAGGCAATGTGAATAGAGTGATCAAGTACTATTAATATTACAGTTAGAATCCCGCTAAGTCCACAAAAGGGTGACGCGTGTGCCGTGAACTCCGAAAAGTCAGGACATTTAGCATAACACAGAGCGTAACATTTCACACAGAGGGAAATAAAGCTCGCTGCTGTCACTGCCAACGCGGTTATCTCTCTCTATTTCAACTGCAGAGCAACAAACCTGCGCCACTTTACATTAAAAGCAACACTTCAAAACAAATGACGTTCTTCCCGTTTTTGTAGAAGATATACGGGTTAGTAATGTTAATAAATACGCCGTTGTTGGACGTTTTGTGTACTGCATGATCGGACACTTATCTATCCTAATTAAACAGCACGATTTTGTAATAATAAAAAAAAACAGGTATGCTATTTGATTTAATATCTTCTATGAGAACTAATCTCATCTTTTAGATCCCTCTGCTGTCAGTGATGTTTAAATCACTAGTCCTATTTAAAGTGTCAGTATCCGTGTTTCGCCCGGACGCCTGGCAGGTCGGGCTTGTTTATCCCGCCGACCCATGTGAGGGAGCCGTGGTAGCGCACTAAGGGGTAGCGGGGCGTAGGGGAGGCGTGACGAGGAGCGCTGGTGGAGAAGCACTGACAGGGGAAACATTGATACGGGGAGGGTCGCTAATAGGGGACATGCAGATTGGGGGAAACGCAGACCGAGGAAACGCAGATGGGGGGTGGTGTGTGATCAGGAGACAGCTGATCGGGATCGGGGGAGCGTCGATGGGCGAGCGTTGATCGGATGAGCGCTGATTGGGGATGCACTCCGGGGTGAAACGCTGGGTTGGTCACGGCCGCTGTACTGTGATGCCCTTAAAAGCCACGGGGTGTATTACTCGGAGCAGGCATCTTTATAATGATCAATAACATTTAGTCACTTAAGTAAATCGTTTGATAAAAAGATGAAAGGCGCTCGTTAAGTATGTTCATATGCTCAGTGTCAGCAGACCCGCAGAGATTAGCCCCATTAACACCAACATACAAGATGCCATTTAGCCTAGATACCCGATCCCTTTGCACCGACATACTCAATCCCATTTATCTTACACCTGCATACCCGATCCCATTAACACCAACATAGAAAATCCAACCCCGGGAAAGCGCGGTTAGGGTCAGACTCACCTACTCCGCAAAAACTAGGTTAATGACCTGTCTTCCCTTTATAGAAAGCACAAGTCTACGTTACCGAAATACAGACCCGAGGTACAGGTAAAAGCGCCCAAAACGCATTTAACGCCTGTTTTTAACCCATCAACACGAGAAATAAATAAAATCACCAGAAATAAGGAAAATGTATTTAACTTTCCTGGTTCCGAATATAAAGGCTGTAATAAAAACAAATGAATAAATGCAAACAAACATGCACACGCAAACCCTGTCATGCGGTACACGGGTCATTATACGGACAAACGCGTCCTGCTGTCGCACATTGCTGGCCTACCTGCGGTCCTGCGCTGTCCCCCGTAAGCAGGATCTCCGGCGGTCTGTCTGTCTCAGAGCGGCGATCGGAGCAGAAGGTGACCCCGATCCGGCACGTTTTTATTCCGGTCGCCACCGCGATCGGGACACGCGCGGGAAGGTGGCGCTGCCGAGCCTGCGGAGGATGGAGGAGGTGCCTTCAGCCGCTGCTGCTACATATTAATGACGGGTTTGCTGGGAGAAGGAGCTGGTAGGTGTGTCACTCCCTGAATAATAATAATAATAATAATAATGATCTTTTTCGGAGTATATGTGAATACGTACAGTGTAGGTCTACTTTTTAAAGGTTTTATGGTTTTAAACCTAACCATTATGTTTGCTTTATTTTGCGCTTTATATAAGCTTGCTTGTGTATGCATAAGAATTTCCACCAATAAAATTTATCTTATTTGCTGAGCCTAGTACTAGTAGTATTACTACCACACAGGTATAAATTTTTGTCCTTACCTTTATAATGGCCTGGTTGTTAGTTGATATGTAAGCAATATATTCAGCAGGAATATAGGCCTATTCCTGTCTATTTACAATAGCATCTCACGCCTCATTAATGAAACACATAAAACATTTAACCCCCGTTTTTACAATTTAGTAAAACCTAGTAATCAATAGCCTATAAAAATGATTTTATTTAATTTATTGGGGGATCAATAATTTATGTCTCGAAGATGATGAAGGTAAGTTTATATTTCTGGTTATTAAGCACTTCTGTATTTGATTAATGTAAACTGTGGACTACTAGTACTGTCATGGGATTTATTCATTCAACAGAAAAGCATCATTATCGTCTAAAATGAAAACAAAGGCTTTAAAACACAGCACACAAAAGCTGTATTCAGAAGCTGTGCAAGCTATACATTTAGGTCTACATTTTAACCAAATATTCAAGGGCGTAGGTTTGGTTTCAACATTTTGGTAATGGTCAAACCAGCCCCGAACCCCCGCCTCAGAACCACAAGCTCAATACCCAACTCTACACCCTTAATTGCAAACATTACGTTTATTTGAAGGAAAATACAGTACTGCTCATCTGTTAACAAACAAGTAAAACTTTAAAGTGAAAATGTATTTTAGAGATTTCAGCTGCCTGCGAAAGGTTGGCGCCCGGTCTTGGGTTGTTCCCTGCCTTGAGTCCATATAGCTGCCGGGATCAGCTCCGGACCCCCGCGACCCTGCATATCGGACAAACGGGTATGGAAATTGAATGGATGAATATGCATTTAGTAAAGCGGTTCAGGAGACTGTTGTGATGTTCTGTTAAAAGAATGGGATGCAGTCATCAACTAGAGAATCGACCCACACAAATCAAACAGATATCACCAACACCAACAGTATATGCTTTTTATAGCCTATATACACAATTTCCAGCGTCAAAAACCATTGCTGCTAAGCAACTGACATAATCCCTACGTAGATTTTGGATCGATTCAAGACACGATTTACATACAAAATAGGCTTAACTATATTTTTAACAAAGGATCTGGGGATATTTTCGTCCTGTTGGCTAGGATATATTGTGCGTTCTCAGATTTCCTCCCAGAGTTTCAAAAAAACACGCGGATGGTTCATTTGGTAGCTGTGAAGTACCCATAGAGTGCGTGTGTGTCTTATGGTGGACTGGCATCTCATCCAGCCTGCCCACTGCCTTCTCCCTTTTCCTTCCTGGGAAGCGCTGCAGTCTCAGCACGACCTTGTACTCCATACTGCTTATGGAGCATGGATGGATGGATGAATATATATATATAATACTGTTGTACTGCTGCAGTCGGACTCTCGACTTCGAGGTTTCAAATGATCATATTGAGCAAAATAGTTAATTTCTCCCAATAATACTTAGGTAATAATAAGCCATAGTGCATGTCACCTAAAATAAAGCGACACAGTAGTTTTGAAGGCCACCCTGGTTGCCGTACAACATGGCGGCGCGCGGCAGCGTCACGCGTCCCCTCAGTACGGCAGGCGCCACTTCTCGCGCATGTAGGAGTTCGCGCGCATGCTCCGGCCTTTCCGGCTCCGGTCCCGCAGCAGGCTGCAGAGGTAGGTAACCCATTAGCACCGACAATCCGCGTTATATCGTCAACATCGCCATGTATTCGGAGCCGAATGTTTAATGTTGGACTCATGAGAGCTCTTTACAGTCATACATGTACACATGTCATAAAAAAGTAGTGCTCCGCGACCCAGATGGTGGGTTTAAAGCCAGCCCGACGGACTGGGCCTCAGCCGCGACGCAAGAAATGGCTCATACCTTCAGTAAACATGTTGTAGTTACTGAACGGAACATTTGTTATCGGACTGAACCGTAACCTTTTCACCTATTTTATCCGCATAGGGCACCACACCATGTTGTTGTTATTAAAAAGTACCCCCTGTCCGCTCCCCGCAGATGCTGATGCCCAAGAAGAACCGCGTCGCCATCTACGAGCTCCTGTTCAAGGAGGGAGTGATGGTGGCCAAGAAGGACGTGCACTTGGCCAAGCACCCCGAGCTGGCGGACAAGAACGTGCCCAACCTGCACGTCATGAAGGCCATGCAGGTGAGGGATAGCCGGGTGGGTGGCGGGGGGACCAAAGCTCTCAGTCTGCGGGCTCCAGCTCCCTGACTTGCGGACTAGTCAGTCTCGAGGAGTAATGGGGGTGGTGTGTGTACCCTGTGGCTGTAATCGGAAGGTCGTCTGTTCATCCCTCAAGGTCCCTTGAGATTCTGTAATCTGTGCAGTGTTCCTGTGTGTTTAGCCCTGTGTGGCTCTGAGTCCCTGAGGGAGAGTGGTTTGGGGTCCCAGCATGTCGTCGTGGGGTTTCCTCTGGGTACTCCAGTTTCCCCCCACAGTCCAAAGACATGCTGAGGCTAATTGGAGTTCCTAAATTGCCCATAGGTGTGCATGTGTGAGTGAGTGGTGTGTGAGTGTGCCCTGTGATGGGCTGGCCCCCGCCCTGGCTCGTTCCCCGCCTCATGCCCATAGCTTCCGCGATTGGCTGCGGACCCCCCGTGACTCTCGAATCTTATGGCGTTGGTGGGTGATCACACCGAGCAGTGCTGTGGGTCGCGTGATGGCGCGTGGGCTGAATCCCTCTGTTTCCTCACGATGCCCTGCAGTCCCTCAAGTCCCGCGGCTACGTCAAAGAGCAGTTCGCCTGGCGCCACTTCTACTGGTACCTCACCAACGAGGGCATCCAGTACCTGAGGGACTTCCTGCACCTGCCTCCCGAGATCGTGCCCGCCACCCTGCGGCGACAGACCCGCCCGGAGACCGCCAGGCCCCGGCCCAAAGGTACCCGGCCTGCTCTGGTCACTCGTTGGCGTGCCCGGCGCCCTCGCTGCGCTCTCTGTAATAGCGAGAGGTCCCGGCTGCCCTGATGGCAGCTGGCCCCCTCCTCACAGCTGTTTCCTGTATGGTACTGGTGTAGATGGGTTTATGTGCTGGGAGCAGGGAATGTAGCCACTGGGAAGGACAGAGCTCTGAAGTCCGAAGGAGAGACGGGAGAGTGACCATTGCTAGAGAGACCCTGAGCTTGGGGAGGGTTCGATGGCGAAAGCTTGGCAGTCAGACTCGGCCCAGTGTGGTTGTATGGGGCAGTCGTAGGAGAAGGTGCGGTGTCTGTTGGATCCTGGGCTTGTTTAGGAGATATTGCTGCGTTCCATTTGAACTCGTATCTCAGACATTCAGAGATCCTAGTCGGAAACTTCAGCTGGAACACCCCCTAAAGTTAGAATTCTGACTCGTGGGCTCGGAGGAAACAACACAACTCAATCTCCGAATTCAAGATGGCTGCGCGCTTAATCAACAGAAGTTAAAGCTGTAGTTTTGTGCTGTTTATTAGCACTTAATGTCTTATTTGTGGCTCATTAAATCGGTCGTACACACAGTACTGTCCATCCACTATATGTGGATGTGTTGCAACAGTGTTTTTATGTGAAAAATACTGCATAATGTGTTATACACTGATATTGCTAACATTGGCTAACAATTACCCAGGCTAGAACTGGGGCCAGTTTCAGTAAGCAGGATTTTTTTCTTTAGTGCACAACTTGTTGGACTTAAGTTAGTCTGTGCTAAATGTAAGTGAACAAAGATAAAGGCTATTTAAACTGGGGAGAAATTAAATCTGACAATTTCGCCGGGTAAGCCTTTTCAAACGGGTCCCTGGTATTGTTAAATGGCTTTCCGACTTGCTGCACTGGAACACTGTTCAACTCGTGTGTGACGTCTTTCCCAGTTCTGAGTTCCGACCTCCGAGGTAAATGGAACGCAGCATAAGAACTGCTAGTGAGTGTGGGAATCGCCTGGGAATCCTCCAGGAGTAATCTGGGTTCGTGACTAAAAATGTGGAACGCTCTGCTGGCCCAGAGGGGATGGATGGATGGATGGATGGATGGAGTATTGAAGAGGCTTTTGGATCAAACCCTAGGGTATTGCTGCAGTTTTTTTCCTTAAATACTGTGCACAAAGTGAGCTATGTGTTGGGTGCGATCAGGATGGTAACTTTATTATTCCTTGCTAATAAAGAGCTCTGTATTTAATTCATAAAAGCTGTGTGGGTTTGTCATGGGGTTACTTTGTTTATATTAATAGAATAGTCTAACATTAAAGCAAATGCTTTAAAACAAAGCACAACGAAAGCTGTGTTCTAGAGCTGAGTGAATGATCATGTGACCTGATCACATGCCTTGTAGCACTCGATGGGGAGAGGCCAGCACGGCTTGCCCGGGGGGAGGCTGACCGGGACACATACAGGCGCTCAGCGGCACCGCGTAAGTACATTCTCCACTCCTCTCGCTGCTTGTTTGCACTGCATGGGTGCACTTTGCATACTGTGTTTTTATTGGTGGCCTTATTTATTCAGATGTAAGTAGATCGCTGTGAATAGAAAGACCCTCCACAGATCTGTGCAGTTGGTACAGTCCAGTGCAGTGGTCACGGGATCCTAATCTACAGTGGATTTGACTGAGTTTGGGTGGCGTGCTGTATACAGCACATGCTGCTTGCCTTGACCCCCACCCCGAGTGAGGCCCACAGGCCCAGTGGGAGGAGGGCTGCTCTCATGCTTCGCTTTCATCCCCCCCCAGCCGGTGCCGATAAGAAGGCCGAAGCCGGCGCTGGAGCCTCGGCAGACTTCCAGTTTGTAAGTGTCCCACCCTGCCTCACCCTTTAGCCCTTCAGACTTGCGTATGTTGCAGCTAATGACCCCTGGCTCGTCCCTGTCTTGCAGAGAGGTGGATTTGGCCGTGGACGAGGACAGCAGCCTCAGTAACTTCCCACTGTTTCTACACAATAAAGCGTTATGTCTCTCAGCTGTTGCCTGCGTGCTTCACCTCTTCCTCTCTCAGACAATGGGTGTGTTGAAAGGGACAGTCGGCTTGCGGGCTCTGACGCTTCAGTTCACGCCGATATTCAAGAAGCATATTAACACCCCTGGGCGCTGTAAGGGTACAGATTCTTTCATGGGATCTGTTCATTGTCAAAAACCAGTCCTGATGTAAGCAGTACTTAGGCTTTCTAATTGTTTACTGGCCAGGTGTGCCTTGTGTATGTATAACTAAATAAAATATGAGCTTGTGTGTTAGGGCTGCCACTAACAACTATTTTTGTCGATTAATCTATTGAATATTTTACCGATTGATTAATCTAAAAGAATAATTTTCTTCCAGAAAATGAAATTGACTGTTGCATTTAAGTTTTATTTTCAAAACAACAAATCATGCCTTTGCAGGGCTTTAGATAATGGATGCCGGTTTCAACACTCTATGGGCGTTACGCCCACAATTTGATAAGCCTAAAATATTAGTGAGTCATATTGTGACGTCCAAAAATTAATCGGTATAAATGTGGCATATCCTTGTTTTATTAAATTGGGTTAGTGGAGCACGCCGTATACAAGTGTTGTGGTATATCATGGAAGCGATAAGCACTGAAGGTAGGGACAGCTCAGCAAAGAGCTGAAAGAGGAGATATTGTGGTTAAATAGGGTAAAAAAGATGGCGGTGTGAGAAGTCTGATGGTTTTTTTTTTTTTTTTTAGTAAATTTTCATTTCAGTTCACTTTTTTGAGTGTGTCTGTTTCTTTTAGTTCATATCACTGGTTTCAACAAGCCCTCATATACTGGCACCATCAGTCAACATAAAATAAGCCCAGATTGACTAAAAATGAGTATTTAGCTTTTAGAAGGATATTAAAAAGGATTTTCAATGACTACATCAACTATTCATGGCAGCCCTATTATGTAGTAATAAATTATGAATATACTTTAAGTGCCTTAGGTGAAGAAAAAGCTGTGTTATAAGCAAGTTTTTATTCATTTAATTGTCCAATAGGCTTTATGTGCACTTGTCACGTAATCAAATGCAGCCAAGAATGAGTGCCCTACAGTAGACACCTGTTCCTATGTGTCCAACAATTTGCAAACTGTCCTGTAGTGAAAGACAATAGACAAATTTTTTAAAGTGTTCAGAAAACCAGCAATACTTGAACCTGAATCAACAGATTAAAAGCAATGTGATATGTATTACTGGAGTGGCAATTAGTAGTTAATGAGTTAATGGTGTGTCCTTGCATAATTACCTTAGGAAAATTGTGGCATAGCAGAAAGGTTGGGAAATACTGCTTTACAGTAAAGTCAAAAGTACCAGAGTTTGCTGGACAGTGCAGGAAAACAGTCCTTATGGAAGGTTATGCTCTGTACTGCTTAATTTGGAAGGAGCTCTGCCTTTGGGCTGTCAGTCAGTGAGGAGTGGTATGGTGTGATCTTGCTGGTCGTAAAAAAGCACATCAGTCTGGCTGTGAAATACTGGTGTGTTTATTCATTGGCACAATTCCCCCACCCCCACAATCTTCAGTCTTGTATGGGTTTAACCAAACAGTCTCCACTGGAACCAATAGCAAACATCATTACACTGGTTTGTTCTTTTGAAAGTGAAATTCACAGTTAACGTCAGCTGGTGGGGATTTCCGAAACTGCAGGCCAACTTGTGTTCAGAACGCTGAGGTGTACCGTCACACATTCCCACACATCAAGCCAGACCTCGATAAGCGCAAACGATCCACCACCTCAGGCTACTGTCAGTACTGTACGACATTTCACAGTAAAACATGGAAACGCTTTGAGAGTTTTAGAGTCCTGATCTCATATTTCTGACAGGTGAAATAACGAGGGAATTAAGTTTGGGTATAAAGCCCCCCCCCCACATCCCCCTCGGGCCACCGTCTTTTTAACTTGGCAGGGTTTTCATACACACTGCTGCTGATTGGGTATCATCTCTGGCACACCCACCAAATGAGAGAAAACGTACCTAAAAGTGTGTTTCACAAAATGTCGTTCAACCCGCAAACGGTACTGTATACCGTTTACAGACTGAACGTTCCTCCAGTCACTAAGTGGTGATGGCGTAGAAATTAATCTCGGAAAGATGCCCTTTGACCCCGGTAATTCCTGTCCAATGGTCGGCGGGAAAGCCAGCCAATCACAAGGCTTCGGCCAAGCATTTACAAGGTTGGCAACGTTCAACCTTGGGAGCTAATCCCTGAAGCTGTGCTGCGGGCTTCCCCAGTTCCACACCTACTAAACCTGATAAGTAGCCGATTAAGATCTGCAAACTCTGTTGCATTGTGGACTCCAGGAACTGGGGAACCCTGCTGCAGTGATTCTCCAGAGGTCTTACCGCACGTATCTGAAGTCAAGCTGTCGCAGAACACAAAGCTAACCTGGCGAACAGACTACATGGGGCTGTCAGTATAAAGCAAGTCAGATGTTCACACTGCCGACCGAACAGTACTCTGAAAATGCCGCCAGAGAGCCGTCGCTCCCCATCACCCACGACAGGCTTCACGCCGACACACAACGAGACAAAACGGCAAAGGAACTGCAGCTGGTGTGAATGGCTGCGAGTGCTCATGAAAGAGGAGGAGGAAAGAGCAGGAGACAGCTGCCACTGTCACCCAAACAGTGAGGAACACAAGAAGCAAAACACTGGCGGCAAGGAGAAAACATCCAGGCACCAATGAAATTCCTGTGTTCAAAAGGACTGCAAGGAACATCCTCCCCTGCAGGGGGCAGTAAATGATATAATAAGTTCTGCTGTCTACGGGGGCTCGACAGTAAACCAAGTTCCTACTGCGCCGACAGTACATTCCAGTGGCTTGTGCTTCTCAATATAAATTCAATGGCATTGACTGATTAAAATAAACCTGAGCAAATAGTGGGTTTATGTACAGATAGTTTGAAGGCTCAGGAAACAAGGCCCAGTGTCACAGGAAGTCAAGAAAAATCTTGTGGGGATTACAGCTGGCTGCTGAGCTAATCTTCAGGCCTGGGTCTCATCTAAAATCCAATACATCGACCCACCTCTGGTCAACCTCAGCCACAGCACCCCCTTCAGGTGGTATACGGGAGTGCTGCTTGGCCAGGCAGAGTGTGGTTCGCCTAAAATGACTGGCTGACATACAAGAAGTAGCCTGCTCACTGGTTGAGCTGGAGCATGTAGGAACAACAACAACGCCCTGCCTCCATCGGGACTGTTGGCACAGCAGATGATAACCTGAACAAGCAGCCGCAAGTGCTGTTGCCACTGGTCGCCACCAGATGGTACCGTTTCATTCTGCTAATGCACATTCAGTTCGCCACCCTGCCCCGGAGAGCATCTTAAATGCTGTTTTCAGGCCCGGGATCCCAGCACATTCCTACAGAAGGTGTGTGGGAGGGAGCTGCTCCAACAAACGTCCCCAGAATCCAGCGGCATGTCGTTCCCTCAGGAATCCGCTTTAAACACGCTACACACATCCCTCTATATGCTGACACACAGAGGTGTCACTGACACCCGTCCCCATGGAGACGGGCGGGCTTTAGACACGGATGGATTATGATGCTGAGCTGGGACCACACTATGGCAGAGCTTGGTAGGGATCTACCTCGTCGATCCAACGAGAGAGACACATCAAAAATGAGCTGGAATATTTAAGAGTCCAGTGTCAGAGGTTGGTGCAGAGCTGCGGCTGAGTACGGATTAAAGGTCAAAATGTCAAACACAGAAGGGTCACGGCAGGGGGGGTCACACGTGGATAGCCCTCCATCTGTGAACGACGGCTGTTGATGGCATTAGTGGGCCGCAAAATGGAAGGTACCACATGGGAGTCGACCGCATGGGCGCAGAAATGCGATGGCACAGGGATTTCAGTTCACCTTAAAAAGACATCGGCATCTAAATCATACAGGTGCACCCCCACCCACCGCCAGAGAGAGGACCCCCATGTTTGGGACAGTCCAGCTGTGATGGAGCTCAGGCTGCAGGCCCTCCAGAGGTGGGGGCACACCACTGCTCCCCAGTGTAAGTCTGTGTCTAAAGCAACTGCCCCCCAGCACTTGAGCACCAAAGAGCTGTTTGCAGGACTGCTTCCAGCCCACGTGGAGTGCTCCGTCACTAAAGTGGCCAGTAACCTCGTGAACTCTCCGCACCAACTTCCCTCAGGGCGCTGCTTCATGTGGAGACGTTTGGTGGTTGGAGCACAAACCCGCACAAAAGCAGAGGACCTGGGAGGCCTAAGACCGTGCCACCTGATTGGGGTCATGGAGAAGCCCAGCCCAGCTCAGCCCAGCCCAGCCCAGCTCAGCCCAGCTCAGCCCAGCTCAGCCCAGCTCAGCCCAGCCCAGCGCAAAATTTTGGGTGCGGGGAAGAAGGGAATAAATAAATAAAAAAGAATTTATACAAGACCATTTCATTCTTTCAGATCAAACCACCCAAACAGTAAAACAAATAAATACCAGCGCTCACACAGAATGAGTCATACATCCATCCAGGCAGATATCAAAACACCTCCCACCAGGTCCAGGTCCAGGTCCAGGTCCAGGGCGGGTCAAAAGGACATTTAAAAAGGCACCCGGAGGCGCACCGTAAGCACGAGCTACATTACCAGAACTTTACATCACGACAGTAAAAAGGGTGAGCATTCAGTTAGCCGTACGCTGGGGCGGGGAGGAAGGCATGCAGTTATCGATAAAAAGAAGGAGGTACATTTACAAAGTGTCGTACGCTCTCCGCTCCACACTGCAGGCCGGCGAGCCGGTCCTCTCGCCAAGGTGCCGACATAGAAAAGGGGGTCGGAGCAGCAGGAGCGGGGGTGACGGGAGGAGCGGGAGTGACGGGAGGAGCAGGAGTGATGGGAGGAGCGGGGGCGGAGGCCGCCCGGCCCGTTATCTGATGCCCGACACGGAGCTCTGGCTGATGCTGTAGGCCGCTGACAGGTCACCGCCCAGTGTGGCCACCAGGGGCGTCCCATTGCCTGTGAGGCAACCCTGCTGCAGAGCTTCAAAGTAAGAAGCCTGTACAGGCTTGTGGCACTGCAGCAGGCGCTGGGCGTCACCCGTCCGGAACCACTCCCGCTTCCTGCCTGCAGGGGGCGACAGAGGCGGCAGCCATGATGACACTGGGCGGAATACCTGGGGACAGATGTGAACCTCCCCCCAAGCCGCGAGAAAGCAGGAGAGGCACCTACCAATGTTGACCGAGTCCTCCCAGTCATCCAGGACCTCTGTCACGACGAGGACGTAGACGTATGTCCTGTGTTTGCGGTCCCTGTTCTGGAAGGAGTGAGCGATGTTAGGACCGGAAGAGGCTCTAATGACGGGGTTAAAAGCTTCAATGCTTTAAAGCAACTATGACATCATGGAAATGGGTATGAAACACATCACCTCCTGGTTCCCTCTACACGCTAATCTACTTATTTAACAGCATTAAGTTCACACAGCACCAGTTAAACGTCTGGACACGCCTACCACAAATCATTTGTTTTTCTACAAAATAACTACTCTAAGCATATGTACTGTATTAAGCAGCAACAGATGACCTGGTCCCCAAAAATTGCCCGACCTGAACCCTGTAGAGATGATTTGGGATGAGTGTGAGTAAGACCTAGGTAGTCAACTTGTGGCCAGAACCTGTAGGAACTCCTTCAAGCACTCCATGTGGCTACATCTGGAAGCTGGCTGAGAGAATGCCAAGAGTCTGCAATGCTGTCATAGCAACAAACGGGGGCTATTTTGAAGTCTAAAATTTGAGAGAATCGTCAGATGTTTACATGCTGTTGCTGGTGCCTTGAGACCCTTTACTACAAGGTGAATGACATGACTAAAATACAGAAAAATGCATCAAAAATGTGTCCAGACTTTTGACTGGTATTGTACTAATATGCTCAATGTCATTGGTAAAATGAATACAATCAACCCAGAAAAAAAAATACCGATCCTGTCTTATTAAAGCCAAATTAACAGAGTAGATGACACACAGTTGCCCTTTCCAGGGCAGGACCATGCCGACTTCCACCAGCAGGGGGCGGGCTCTGCAATTCAAAGCATCCGAGAAAAATGCCTCCTTTGTTTGCTAGTCTCTTACTGAAACGCGGGTAATTACAAGCTGGGCCGTGCATGGAGGGCTCCCCGTGACGGGGGCCACACGGAGAGTAGCATAGCTCACCTCGAACACCCCCACCAAGCGGCCCAGGGTTCCCTTGACGCCGGCCTGTTGAACAGAAGTGGGGGAGGGAGACAAATCATCACAACAGGGAAGCCCTCTGTCCCGCTGCACCCACTGCGGCTCCGCGCGCAGTGGACACATTGCGCCGCACGGAGGGGGAGGGGCCTGTGGCCGTGGCAACGACTCTAGCCAGAGAGATTGGCCCTGGCTCTGCTCTGTGATTGGCTCTGTCACCCTCGCGAAAAGACCAGCAGCCCAGAGGGCGTGTCCATCCCCCACGGCCATCTGTGGCAGCTAAACGGGGAGCCTGCTTCAGGAGAGGAGGACTCATCTGTCACAAAGAGTGTGTGTGTCTGTGTGCGTGGCGTTCAAACAAGACGCGAGTCCGCGACCTCCAGGATGTGTGGCGTCCCGCTGTCAACCGGGCCCCCGTTTCCAAAGCGTGCCTGAGGTAACGAGCCTCATTTACATCCAGAGTAACAGCCCAAGTACCACAATACATATTTATGAGACTGTATTATCGGTTACGAGCCTCAGAGGTGCACCGAGTCAGGACCGACAGCGATTGCGCCCGTGGCCTGAATCTCACCGCAGCCGAGGGCTTGGCCCACAATCCACACGGTCCCACACATGGCCGCTGACATCCCCTGGCCCGCGTGAGATGGGGAGTCGGGCCTCGACAGCTCCCAGCGGGATCAAAGCCCAGCCCTTTATGTCTTTATCGCCAAAATGCCACTTTCACAGTGCAGCTCCTGCACAAAGGGAGGAGGGACGAGGGCACAACGGGACTCAGAAATCCTTCCACTCTCTGCACCACCCTGTCCGCCTCGGCTCCTGATTCTGCCCCCCGCTCACACGGCCTGATGCCTCGCCCGAAGGTCCCACAGCGCAGAATCACCACGGCAGTGGCCTTAACTGGCGTATCACAGTCGCAGAGCTAGAGTGGCACAGTAGGGGGCGCACTTACACAGTGGGGCCTGGGCCAAGGACACAGTGGTGGGGGGTGAGGGGGGGGCGGGTCCAGGCCAGGATTAGCTCTGCCTCAAGTCTACAGGGAGCTGTTTTGCAAACAGGGTTTAGTTTCAGACTATTAATAAATACAAATGTTATAGCCCCCCCCCCCCCCCAGCTCCTCAGAGGGAGGGTGACGTGCCCATGTGCACCAGGCAGAGGTAAGTGGGTCAGAGCTGCCTCTGGCCGTGATCCCACAGAACCAACACTGAGACCGGGCCCAGCCCAGATTCCAGAAGGCATACATCGCCAGTATGCTTACTCAAAGGAAGAGGTGGTGAGCGGTTCTGTGAAAGCAGATGTGTGGGTCATGCTCTGCAGAGGCAGGCGCACACTGTGACCTGCAGGGGGCGTCCCAGCGTGTGACTATCTCACGACCGGTGACCTCAGAGTCCAAACCAAGGACCTGAAAGGGTCATGTTCACAGACCAAATGCATATATCCCTTAACGCTGAATAAGACAGACATTAAAACCAGTAGCCCCGGACTGCAAGGGGCTCTCTCATACAGCCCAAGTGGGCCCTGGGTTCGACTACATGGAGCCTTGGACCAATATCATGGTGGTGCCTGCGTCTTAGGTCGGGTCCTGGAAGACTGACAGAAAATCTCAGCTTTGCGGCCTTTTAGCCAGTAAACACCACTGGTAACAGGAAGCCCCCGCTAGCAGGGGGGCACTCTCTGGGGGGGAGGGACGGGTACGGTTACAGTGTGACGGTGCTCGTTGCTAAGCTGGGGGGGGGGGGGGTCCTGAGGGCACATCTCAGCATGCCAGTCTAAGGCTGACAGGGCAACAGGCCACCAGCTCGCGTGTCACCAAAAGCCGCACAAGTGGCAGTGAAACACAAGCTGTCATAGCGCCACCAAGTGCCACTTCCTGTGTTACTGCGGCCAAACGTGGAAACAGAATTACACCATTTCAAAGCTATCAGGGCTGTTACATTTGTAAAATCATTAATTATGGACTATTAAAAGAACAGCCAAACTCTATCCAAAAAGCCCCCCCATCCCCCAGCAGGAATTCACAGCCCGTCTCCTGACTCATAGGAGACATGCCCGTGTGGCCATTAAGAGACCAGAACACCTCCCTCATGCTACCATTATACTGCTCTGCGCGAACATCTGTAAAAAAGCCCCACAAGCGGCTGACAGCCGCGGATGTGGCAGGACCGTCGGCAATTCCCCGCGCTGGCGCACACCACGAACCAGACGCTCAGCGCAGCACCAGCAGCGACCTCGTGGGGATCGGCGGCAGGCCTGACCCCAGGGGCTGTACAGTTTGGATGAGCTAGGACCGGAAACGCTGCGGCGGGTCTGTGGCCCACATTCTCAAACCCCCGCCTGCCAGCCGGGAGCCATTTCCCCGTGATCGTCAGACCTCCCAGGAGGCGTCTGGGCACGCTCTGTGGCCACACGCAAAGCGACCAAAACAGGACAAAGCAGGAGAACCTCACAGAAATGTCGCAGTGGGGACCCGTCAGGGGAACGCTGTGATGCCTTAACATCGATAAAAACACAGACAAGATTCAGGCCGCCACCATCTGCCGTGTCCTAATAGGACGGGATGGGAATGACCGAGTAGTACCTCTTCACACACTTCCCGGACCGCGGCGACTCCTGGTTCTTCGTCTGGCTCCATCCCTCCGCCAGGAACGATCCATTTGTCAGGGTGTCGACTGCTACTGACCAGTAGCACCTGGGGAGACAGAATGGACCACAGTGCCAGGGGCCGGGCGTCAAGCTCAGGACACTCTGAACAACAAGGAAAGCAGCAGCTATGGGACCGGACTGTAAGCCTGGAGAATCCTAGGTCTCTACACAGCACTTTGCTGCTCAGTGGGGTAGGGTGCAGTGCTTGTGATCGGAAGGTTGTCGTTTCAAATCCTAGGGCCAGCAGAGTGATGTCACCGTTAGGTCCCTTAACTCACAATTGCACAAGGGACTGTCTGAGCCTGCATTCTCAGAAAAGTATGTTGCTTTGGATGACAGACTTTGATAAATAAATGTACATACAGTTAGACAAGTCTGAAGTGGTCTCTTTGGAAATAGTAGGTAAGGTAAACCAGGAAGGTACACTGATCTCTTTGCATGACCTAACAGTGTCAGCAGAGAAACTACAGCATTTAACAAATTAATAAGTTCCCATCATGCCCTGGGAGAGTCATGACATCACTGGCAGAGTGTGTGACTGGTACAGTAGGGCAGAAGGAAAAGGTTTCACAAGCCTGGGGAGATAAGTGAGACTTCTACACAAACCCAATGGGAGGACATCTTGTACGACCGCCTAGAGATCTCTGAGGCACAGATCCGATCAGATGACCACTAAAGCCCACCTTTAAACACCAGAATCAAACAGTCCAGAGGGACAAAGCCATATCCAGCTAACCCACGGCAGCAGAGCTCTAAAGAGACCCCAACTTTCACAGGGATCGGGTCCTGACTCACACAGATAATGCTGAGCTGCTCTGGGATGTCTCACTTAGGCAGTGGGCCACTGTCACCCCAGTGTCATACTAGGGTACCTTACTGGGTCCCCAGTACCATGCAGAGCCAATATAGTGGGTCCCCAGTGCCATAGAAGGCCACCTTACTGGGCCCTGTGCTTTGAATATGCCTCAGCTGCAAGGTCAACACGGCTCAAACCCAGACTATATTAGCAAACCCTAAGTGTCAGTTACATGCGAACGCACATTTCCTGCACGCGGGGTGAGGAGTGGCGGTGGATGGGTGCCCGGGTGCCCGCAGCCCCCTCCCCAGCCTTGACAACGGTGATTCCGAGCTGATGACCGGACGGACACGGCTCACGCGAGTCCGGGGGCCTTCTGGAAGCACACAAAGGGGAGCTGGGGAGTGGGTGACGGAAGCCGATACGGGCAGAGTGCCTGACGCCCAGGGCGGCGGTGTTTCTGCCGTAGCCCCGATGGGGAGCGCCATGTCCCCTGGGAAGCTGAGCGTGTACCCGGCGCGTCCTCGTACCCGTCGGCAACCCGTCCCAGCGCCTCCAGAGACACCCCCGGCCTCACCTCCTCCTCGCTCTCGCTCCTGAAACACAGACAGGCGGCCCTCTTCTTGTAGCCGTCCCCGTCGTATGTCCGCGTCTGGTTGGATTTCAGCTTCATCCTGTCGGGGGTCCCAGGGACTTTAAGTTAAAGGAAAACCTTCCGGAAAAGATGTCGCTTTCGACGCCGAAACCCGCTGAAAGACGACCGCCTTCCCCCCCTCCGCTCGTGCTTAACAAGAACAACTTCTCCTCCGCTTCATTTTTCACGAACCGGGGCGCATCTACCGCACGGACGCCATTATTATGCCGAGCGCTACGTAGTTAGCGTAGCCACGCGCACGATGCCGCAGGCGACACTGAAAATATTACGGATGTTGCGTCTGTGAATGCGCTCCTGGACCCCTGCGAACAAACGGAACGGCTGAGCGCGGCGCAACGCTTTTGATGTAACTTACGTTAAGAGAGCAGCGAATCAAGCTGACCAAAACTGACGGCTTTTATCTATATCAGCAGATGTCAAAGGGGAAACTTATCACTGTTCCTTCTTAGTCCGCCTACGTTTGACGACCACAATGCTGGATCAATAAGGCGAAAAGCATTTTATATCCATAGAAAAGTCAGGTGCCAAATGTCACAAAACTGAAATTAAGAGATATCAGACTGCCACGAATTATAGGCTACATCCCTTTTTAAAATTTATAGTAACTAAAACAAATAATACATGTACAGTCGTATACAAGATTAATTGACATTGCTGTTGAAAAAGCAATAATGACAAACGAACGGTCCCTGGAAAATGTTGCGTTACTTTATATTGGACACATAAATCTAGTTGAATGAGTGTCATATTATCGAAAGCTTTTAAAATGTGAAATAAGTGGTAGAAGTTATTCAAGCTTTTCTTTAAAGGTGAGTATCATGTTCCACAGGCCTGGGAGCGAGTCTTCTGACTGCTTAGCCCAGTCAGGCTCCTGTGGTGGTCTTGACATTTTCTTCATTAATGTAAACATACTACTTTCACCATACATTTCTTCATTGGTTGACTGCTTAATTTATTTATTGTTATTAAATGATAACTGGTTATTCTAATTGTGCACAAATGGGGTTGTCAATGGTAAAAACAAATGAAAATGGGTCAATTTATCAGTCATTTGATTCTTAGGTATTAAGAAGCAAAGGAGGGTATTTGGTTTTTGAATAGGGGGTGGGGGTGGGGGGGAGGGGCAATCTGAGCCACTATAACCACAAGTTGAATTTTGGAAATCTTGTCATTTTCAAAAGTATACCTTTATAATTTTTCTGTCATCTCCAAGTCTTGATGAACATAGAGTACAGGGTCTTAGGTGACACTGACTCTTTTTATCATCCACCTTGTTGAGTTTCAGCCCCCCCAAGAAATATGAAACCAGGGGTGCAGCAGAGCTGAAGACGTTCTTCACATTGGAACTGCCCAAAACTCCTTAGCGGCACAGAAGTTTAGTGGAAGCAGTAAACTAGGAGAGAGCTTCATGTTCATGACATACTGGATGGCAGTTGACACAGGGGACACAGGACTGGATGGTAAACAGAGGTCTCTGTACAGTGTTGTGTTGTTCAGTGGGTCAGTACGCTGTCTGTGATTGCCAGTTTGCTGGTTCAGATTCCAGGGTTGACAGAGTGAATTCATCGTTGGGTCCCTGAGCAAGGCCCTTAACCCATTTAAGAAACATATTCTAAATCGAGGGGGCTTCATAATGGCAGTATTGTTGTTATACTCACAGAGATCATTACACAGCCTTATACTGTATGTGTCTAGAGTATATAGACACTCCCTAAGCGGAGTACCAGCAGAGCTCATAATTAAGAAGACAGCTCCCCACTCAAGGGAGTTTCTTCATTTCTACGACTCAGATTTCGCATCAGAGTCCTTTCGGTTCAAACGAACATTGCTTTATAATGTAACGCTTCTCAGGGGTTTTGCGTAAAAAGGTTTTCTCCTTCTGTGACTAGCTGAAATAACCTTTTCCAAATAATGGGCTGACGTGAATCACTTCTGGTAACTCAATACCGCTTTGATCCTAAGGTCTAGTTATTTGCCAGTTCTGCTGTATACCGTTTACCGATTACCAAAATTACACGGTTAATTCCAGTCCAGCCTCCGCCCGAATCGCACGGAGGCGCGTAGCATATATAAAACGGACTTATTCATATATCTTGTACTTAATGTTTTCAATATATTTTAACCTATTGTTTGAAACACAACTTCTTCTCCCTTTAAATGTATGGCAGAAACGCCGCAACTGGATACGTAGCGTGATAGCGTCACGTACATCTAAAGGTCATAGCACAGAACCGCATGAATTGTCGGTGCATTGGTTATGATAAATCTAGTCGTCGAAGCCCAGCGGGTATAAAAAATGGATGATGGATAGATGGACGAATGGTCGCGTTTAACTTAAAAATGCTTTGAATAAGTCTTAATTGATGCAATACAAAAATCAAGTCCTGAAACTACATGGACGCCTTTAGCAGCCTTAAAATCATAAGGCGAGCAACAGAAAAAAGGGCCCAGGTTTTTATTCTAAGTAGAAATAGAGGAATTCGGTGACATCATCGCCGCAGCCGCTTATTGGCTCAACCGTACTGCTACGTCACCGCCGTTCTGGGAACGTTCCTGGAAAGCGGAAGGATGGTTTATACCAGGAAAAGGGGCAGTGTGCATGTTATCATTTACACAAGCCACCCGGCAGTTGCGCATTAAAGCGTCACAGCTTAAAGTTTCACTGACATTATTCTCATCTTTTTCTTTTATGAACTTTTTAATATTATGGAAACAGGAAACATTCCAGAAACATAAGCACAAATAACGCCTGTATTCCAGGAATGCAACGGTGACAAATTAATTAAAGAGAATGGCGAATGCCTAGTGTTTTAAATAAGACTAAACATAGTAAACTGAAGAGGTAGCGTTCATTACCGTGGTCATAACTGCAAGTAGTTTTCACACGTTAATTGTAATTATGTGAAACCAATGGGAATCTCTACTGATATGCATGCTTTGTCAAAAAATAAATAAAACGGGTCCCTCTCTCCCCTGTAGCTGACATCCCCCCCCCCCTCCTCAGTGTGGGGCACCCTCTCTCCTCCTGTAGCTGAAGCCCCCCTCACTGCGGGGTATACTCTCTGTCTGTTGAGGTCATCCTCCCCGTAGAGGCAGAGGTTGCACTGCCCTCTAGGGGGCAGCCTAATACACCCATACGCATCACAGGCTTTTCTTACAGTGACTGTGGGCTTCTTCTGTACTGCTCAGGCTCATCATGATTGATTTCACTCTACAGTCATTGGTCAGGAGAAGAGCCAAACTGCAAGGGCCTTGTTTACCAAATTTACGAAAACAACAACAAACAAGTTAACTGAGTCTATGCAAAAACTTAGTTACTTTAGTAGCATTTGGTCACTTTATTATGTATATCTGCTCCACTGCTCATTTAAGCAAATTTCTAATCACCCAATCACACATTACCATGACAATGTATAACGTCATGCAGGTACAGGTCAGGAGCTTCAGTTAATGTTCACATCCAACACCAGAACGCGGCAGAAAGGAGATTTAAGTAACTTTGAACATGCCATGGTTGTTGGTGCCCGACAGGCTGCTATGAGTATTTCAGTAACTACTAAACTTTTCATGCACCACCATCTCTAGGATTTACAAAGAATGTACCAAAAAAAGAAAAAAACACCCAGCGAGCAGCAGTTCTCTGGGTGAAAATGCCTTGTTGACAGCAGAGGTCAGAGAAGAATGACCAGACTGGTTCAAGCTGATAGCAAGGCAACAGTAGCTCAAATAACCACTCATACAACCAAAGTATGCAGAAGAGCATCTCTTCATTGAATCTTGAAGCAGATGGGCTACAACAGCAGAAGACCACACCAGGTGCCTCTTCTGTCAGCTAAGAACAGGAACCTGAGGCTACTGTGGGCACAGGCTCACCAACATTGGACAATGGATGATTGGAAAAATGTTGCCTGGTCAGATCACACTCAATTTCGGCTGCGACACTCAGATGGTATCTTACAATTTGTCGTAAACAGCTTGACAGCATGGATCCATCCTGCCTTGTATCGACAATTCAGGCAGATGGTGGTGGTGAATAGGTGTGGGGGATATTTTATAGGAACACTTTGTTGCTGACCCTGTCCATCCCTTTATGACCACAGTGTACCCAGCTTCTAATGGCTAGTTCCATGCCATGTCCCAAAGCTCATATGATCTTAGATTGGTTTCCTGAACATGAGAATGAGTTCACTGTACTCAACTGGCCTCCACAGTCACCAGACCTCAATTCAACTGAGCACTTATGGAATGTGCTGAAATGGGAGATTCGCATCATGAAGGTGCAGCTGACAAATCTGCAGCAACTGCGTGATGCTATCATGTCGACATGGACCAAAAGCTCTGAGGAATGCTTCAAGCACCTAGATTTATGCCACAAAGAATTAAGGCAGTTCCAAAGGCAAAGGGGTGCCCAACCTGGTACTAACAAAGCGTACTTAATAACGTAGCCAGTGAGTGTATATGACTCTCTGTAGCTTTTAAATTAATATGAATTAATAGGACGCAATGATTAATAAATAAAGCAAATAAACACCTACATGTGATATGTTCAAATCCTGATGCCTCGCTCACAATAGCTACACCAGTAGCCTCTTTCAGCACTGAAGCGAATGTATCGAACCACATGTCTCTACATCCCTCTTCCTCTAGGATTTCCTGGTTGCAGATAAAACACCTTAAAGCAGCCCAAGCTCACAGGTCACGGAAACACCTGCAATTTGACTTTTAGTTTACACCAGCAATCATCTTGACATGAGTCAATGTGCAAAAAATATCTAGCATTTATATTCCCATAATCACATGTTTTATTCTATATTCTGCCTATAACACATTTCCCTACTAGGTTGGTGCCTTAAATGTGAATTGGTGTTTCAGTCACCAGTGCGCAGTATCTTCAGCTATACTTTACAAAAGCGTCCTACTGCTGCATTGGGTCTTTTTGGTCTATTTCCTAACCTGTTCTACATTAAATCTACAGCTATGGTTATCTTTCCCGATTCCTTTTCCAGCATGCTGGTGAGTAATTATCATTGTCTTATTGGAGCTACATATTTTCCACCTGCACTCCAAACTAGCCCTAGTGGCCCTGAACAAGATGGAAGATGGACGGATGAATGGATAGAATAGAAGAGAATAGAATACCTTTACTGTCATCATCAGCCACTCTAGTGGCAATGCAGAAGAAAAAAAGAGTTAACAAAATAATAAAAAAAAATATGGACAATATACAAATAATATATAAACATTTATGAATTGAGAATTGTACAAGGATGAAAAAGACTGGAAAGTAAAGTGCACCAGGCGTGACCATAAGGAAAAAAGTCGGCAATAACAACAGCTCACCGATTTTTGAAACTGGCAAAAACACTAAGAAAAGTGCTCATACTGTTGGAAATTAATAACATTTTCATGAATAAAAAGAACCAAGGTTATAATTAGGGGGTCCTTTGCAGATATGTAAGGTTCTTTTATAGGCTTATTTTTTTATTTTTTATTAATTTAATGATTATATGCTGGCCCATTGCGTACAAAATCAGTTGTCCTCAGATAGGGGATAATCATTTCAACAAGATTAAAAAACAAAAAGTAATAATTTAATTTAATAATATCTTTACCACATGAAAGAGTACATTGGAATGTGTATTAAAAACTACAAACAGTGAGTTTTGAACAATATTTACTATTACTTTGTGGTTGATCACAATGTGTCCCACATATCACCACTGTCAGATATTTATAAAAAGCAATAAAATCAGGCAACTACACGGTCAACTACATTCCTGA